GTGAGCCCCGATATATCGTATGAAGATTTCTGCGCGTTGTGTCGCGAGTGTTGGCAGCGCAAGTACGGGTTCGTGGTGATAGACAAGGACAGCGCGCTACAAAACGGCAGATACAGACGAGGATTCAACGACTTTGCCGTACTGTAGAGCGATCAGTAGGTGTCGAACGTTCCGAGAGCGATGCGCGATGAGCGACGCGAAAGACACCGTTGACCGAGAGAAGACCGCGCGGCAGATCGCTAAAACGCGCGCGTTGATACGCAGAAAATACAGAGCGTTGAAAACCGGCAGTATGGAAAACAAGATGGCTCTCGAGAGACAATTCAAACCGATCGTCGACCCGTTGAAACAAATCGTCGAACACGTCGAAAGAGGTGAATCCAAGAACGACAATGCAGCGGCGGCAGCGACGACAAAAGGTTTCGTTATTAAAAAGAAACGCGAGCATAGCGAAGACGACGACGACGACGACGACGAAGGAAAAGTCGCGCGAAAAATAATATCGAGATCTAAGAAGAAGAAGAAACAAACGAGTGCCGAGTCAGAGATGCTCCCGATTCACTCCACGCCTCTGAAACCGCGAAAATTATCGTTGCACGAGCGGATGGGAGAGGAGCTGGAGGTTTTCGCGTTGCCGTTGCCTTCCCCCGAAACACCCGTAAGGGACGTTCTACAAACGCCGCAGAGTCACGAGGAACTGCACAGTCAATTGGGTCCGTTGGGACAATGATACGTGGGCGCTCTTCTAAACGGGGATCCACAAAATGAATTCGATATCGTTTACGGTGTGTACGTCGGAAATGACGGCACGATGCTCGGTGACAAACGGTTCAAGGTGAACGCGGACGATTCCGTGATCGTGAACGGAGTGAGATACACGGGCACGCCCGGCTTGTACGAATTAATCTTCAAGAGATATCCCAATGGTGCAATTTACACCGAGGACGACATGCAAAAGTACAGAAATATACTGTTAGCGACAAACGCTTACAGACGCGATTATAATGCTCTTAACCCCATTATGGGCAACAGGGGACAAAAATACACGAAAATCATCGCTCCATTGGTATCGCGCGGTAGAATCGGCAGTAATAGAAAGGGCGCTGGCGCATGGCGTGACCAGATTACCGTCGATCATGAAATTGAACGACAATACAATGGATTACGTTTATTGGGACGATCCTAACAAATTGGTGGATCGTCTGCGATTACTCGAGGTCTCTCGTTAAGCGGGCAACGACGCGCACGGTAACGAGATTCAGTCGATAATTGAGGAGCTTTGCGAGATCGGATTGATTATAAATTGAGCTGTCGCGTCGATCGCGACGGCAGTACGTTTCTCGACGAAAGATCGGCGCAATTTCGGTGAACAAATTCGGAATGTCTCTGAGGAAACGCGGCGACAGCGGCGGATTCGCGACAGAAAGATCGCGATTCTCTATCGACTCCCTGCGGAACTACATACGAGACAGCGCGCTTTGCTTGAACGAGGATTCCTACGACGCAAGGGAGCGCAAGCTACGACGTCTAGCCGCGCCGGAGATCGACAGCGACGCGACGAACAAGAGTTACGTCAAACGCGCGCTTCAAGAATCGGGAAAGGAGATCGATAAATCGTTGTCGTCGGTGAAAAGTGAGGTGGATAGGATAAACGGCGACGTGAACGGACTCAGAACCACGTTGAGCGAATTTAAGGAGACTGAAAACAACGTCATGAGCGGACTCAGAATCACGATGAACGAGTTTCTGACCAAGTTCGAGGAGATTGAAAACCAGATACAGAACTTGGAAAACTCTAAATCCACGCAGACGGGACAGATACTCGGCGCGCAGATCGCAATGAACGACTTTCTAGCCAAATTCCGCGAGATTGAAGGAATCGTGACGAAGGAATCGTTCGAGAGAGAGATAGCGAACATTCGCGGTAACAGGAGGAAAGGTCAATAAGGAGGTAGATGAGCCGTCTTTTTTTCGCGCAGTCAAGAGAGGAATACACGCGCGCAATGATGAGTGCCGAGAAGCGGAGACTCGTGGAGGAGCTGCACGCACCGGCGCGGAGAAACTTCCCGCGACGTCACGTCGTGGTGCGCGGTTACGACGATCTGTGACAGGCTGACGTGGTCGAGATGCGTCCCTACGCGCGACACAAGGGTTACTATTACATACTAACGGTTATCGATGTGTTGAGCAAGTACGCGTGGGCGTTACCGCTCAAGAGCAAAAGCGGAAGCGAAGTAGCCGCGGCCCTGTTGAGGATATTTTGCGAGGACGCGCGATATCCGAGGAATCTGCAAACGGACAAGGGAAAGGAGTTCTACAACGCTAACGTGCGAGAGATTATAAAAAAACGCGATACAAATCACTACTCGACGTAGGACTCGGTGATGAAGGCGTCGGTGGTGGAGAGATTCAATCGCACGCTGAAGAACGACATGTGGAAACTCTTTACGCTCAACGGATCGTACGCGTGGGTCGATGCGCTGCCGCGTCTGCTGACGAATTACAACCACCGCAGGCATAGAACGATCGGGATGCGACCGGTGGACGTGACACCCGCCGTCGCCAAGAGACTCTTGTCCACGGTGTACAGTCGCGCGAAGATCGCCGCTCCGGGTAGATTCAGGGTAAACGATCCGGTGCGCATGAGCAAATTCAAGACGCTGTTCGAAAAGGGCTATACCCCTAACTGGATTACCGAGATCTTCCGTGTCGCTAAAGTACAACGTACCAATCCTGTGACGTATCTGTTAATAGACTACCGCGGGGAACCGATAGCCGGAGGATTTTACGAGCATGAGTTGCTGCGAGTTTCCGACCCCGACGTTTATCTTGTGGAGAAAGTGTTGCGTAGGCGAGGCGACGACGTATACGTGAAGTGGTTAGGAATGAACTGTTCGCATAACTCATGGATAAATAAAACGGCGGTGTTATAGTTTCTATACATATTATTTTTTTGTTCGCCTTAATGTAAACTTATGTGTATTTTAAAAACAAAATATATGTTTTATCATTCTCTAACCTTCGCAGTCATACTTCTTCTTTTATCCGTATGTGATTCTATTGGAGAAGAGGAGGAGAAAAAAAATAATCAAACGAGGTTCCATAGGGGGGGTTTTTTTTCTCTCTTTATTTTTTTTAATAATAATAATAATATGTGATTACAATAATTTCTCAATATTCCCGAAGCACAGAGCGACTAACTCGCAGTCAACGATGTCATTGCGATCAAAGAATTCGCTCTCGCGTATCGCTCTTGGGACGTTCGCGGGATCCGTCACGGTGGCCGCAATAGCGACGAAGCGCGTCAGATTCGCGTCGATCGTGTTGATGATCGCGCGCAACGAATTCACGAGGTTGTTGACGCAAAGTTCTAGGTCGAACATGAGGAGCACGGTGTTCGTCGACACGATCATACGAGTCGTGGACGTTTCCAGGCGTAGGGTCGACAGAGTGTTAATCTTGCTAAATCGTAATTTTAGTTTTCCGTTTTCGAAGCACATCGGTGGTGGAGCGCGCTCGTTCTTTCCGCGCTGTAGATGGGACAACACCGCGCGTTTAAGATCGATGAGTTCCTTCCACGTTTCAGGCGAGAGTGAGATCTCCTTGCCGCGACAATCTCCTATGACGATGTGTATGTAACACGGGAGTACGGCTGTGATACCGACGTCTATGAATTTGTACCCCGTTTTAGTTAATAGGTATCTTCTTTCCAGAATTCGCACCGGATGACGTTCGGCGTCACGTTTCGATGTACTGACGTCGTCGTTGCTGTGACTGAAAATAATAAAAAAAAATTATTGTTATATCGTAGGCGAGCAATACGGGATCGTCGCGAACTCACCACATGTTTTTCCAGCAGTCGACGTTGCCCCGATTCAAAAACGGAGTCTCTAATTCCGTCGATTGCTCGTCGACTCTTCTTCTTCTTTTCGCGTTATCGACGCCGTTCTCGAGATCGTCGTCGGATTGGCGCTGTTCGAAATACGGGGCGTGTAACGTCGAACACATTTCTCTCTCTTTTTTTCTCCGTTGTCGCGGTGCAGTTGGCGGATCACGCGAGAATGAGTCGTTCGAGGAAAGTTGAGGCAAAATATATTTTAAGAAATAAATTACGATTCCCCCTCCTTTCAATAACATTCTCAGGAGTGACATGTAAAGGAGGGGATACGTCGAATCGTTCTATTCTTCCTCTTCTCTATTCGACGTCTCCCTCGCGTCAATTCGAACGAATCGACTCAATAGATCTCGCAGTTGCATCATCAGTCCCTGTCTCGGGCAGGTAATACCGAAGATCCTAAGATCAAATTTGCCGGATACCGTTACGGTTTTCGTAAATTTGTTGAATCTGTAGAATCGGTTTTTACTGATAAAGTACAGATTACCGTCTATGTATCGAAAGGCCGACGATACGCTGTGAGGTATTCCCGGAAATATCATGTCGATGTGGTAGTACTTAACGATATTCATCGAACAATCGTCTATCTCGCCCACAACATTATCGTCGTATATAACGAAGGTTCGTCTTTCGTTCGTGTTCAGCACGGCGTTGACCTTCCTGGCGGTATCGGGAATTCTGAGATCTGTGTAAGATCTTGGCCAAGTTGAAACTAGCGTTAGACGCGGATAAGTGATCATGTAGCTCATATTGCTCGCGAACAGCATGATATTGCCCGAGGGCGTCTGATACGCGGCCGTCAGACGCGTGAAATTCTTAGGAAGAAATTTCATGTAGTCCGTCAATAGCAAGGGTTTCTTGTACGTTTTCCCGTCTATATCGATTGACCACATGTATCGTTCGTGCGAGATGTACAATCGACCGTTCGTTATCAATACGGTATCCACGTTTCGCAAGGTGCACAGATCCATCTCGACGTCTTTCGTACTCGTCGTTGTTATCGTCGTCGTCGTTGTGGTAGTCGTCGGTGTCGTCGTCGTTATTACTTTTGGAACTTTAGCGTTTTCTTTAGCGCCGTACAGGTGTTAAATGGAAAGAACGTCCTCTAGAGTAAGTTGAATGTCTTCTCAGGCACGAACGCGAACATCACCGAATCTTCGCGGAAGGTGTGCGGCAAGCCTAAAGCGTGACCGATCTCGTGCGTCAATGTCTGAAGTAAATTGTACATCCCCGGGGGATTCTTAGTCAGCTGTATGTGCCACGTCTCCGCTTTGTCTACGTGCACCTCCGAGACGAAATTGGGGTCTCCGGTGGGAAAGAACGCGTGAGCGACATCTCCGTTAGGACCTCTGAACGCAGACGAACACGGTTCGTTTCGTCGGGAGTATAGCATCGCGTGACGCCCCTCACGAAACGATATCAAAATATCGGGATTCAGTGAATCGCGCTCGAACGTCAATGACGAATTCGCTGCCCACAGATCGAACGCGGCTTGGGTCGTTTTCAAGATTATGTCGTTGGCCAGATGAAAGTTCCATTTGAGATGTTTCCTCGGCCATTTGTCCGAAAGCGGAGCGAACGTGCGCTCCGAAATGTCCTCGACGCCGCATCGCGGTTTACCCATTTGATTCAGCGCCTCTTCGTTTAATTCGCCGTCGCCTGGTAGTCGATAGAATTCTTGAAACAGTGAGACGGCTCGATGTAACTCCTGCGTAGTGTTGTAGGACGATGAAAATCGCTGTGCACCGCTGTTATCCAGATACCCATATTTTTGCAGATAACTGATCGCAATCTCATTTTCACTCGATTTACAATTTACCGCGACGACGATAATAATCGCGCACGTAATTACGCGCGCGAGCGACATCGTCGAGAGATAACGATACGTTTCCCACCTCGACCCCTTGACCCTCGAGAAGCGATAAGCGTCACCGCCCGATCGAAGCGCGAGTGACCGACGTAACGAGCGATGCGTTCCTTTTTTTCAGCGATCGCGACGCGGGTGGGAAGTCTCGGTAAAGGTGTCAATTCGTGAAAGGCTGAAAATGAGCGTCGACAAGGCGAACGTGACGATTTCGCTTTGACGTTAGCGCCAATGATGAAGTTGAATTTGTATAATATTCACCCATCGTCCCAGTACAATGAAACATAGACTTTAAACAAAACATTATTAAGAAGTACATATTTGCAATATATTATATATATATTTAAACGCAGCGTAATATCTTCAAGTAATAATATTTCATGATACATATATAAATACATGATATTAATTCTGAAGATTCGGTATTTGATATCGCGACGCGGGTGAGAGGTCATTCGGAAATAGATATCTCTTACACGATTGGTGGGCAGAACGTCGCGCGCGTCTCGACATTCTGTAACGCTTTTTATTGTATTATAGAAATGAGACAGCCGTGTTGTAGTTAAGATAATTTATTTTTTTTTCCTACATATTACTTTTTTTTTGTAGAGTAGTGGGTGGTTCCACTAGGGGCCCCTGACGGCTCGCGGTATGATGTACCTCTGTAATGAAAAAAAAGTTGAATAAACGTGTATCTTGATAAAAGAATATAATAAGTCTTTTTTCAAAAAACATTTTTAAGACGTACATATTCGCGATATATTTAAACGCCGCTCCGGCCGCTTTCATGTATGACGTTCCTCGTCTCCTTCGTAACCCCGGGAATCTTCCTCAAATCGTCCGCCGCTTGATCCAATAACTGACGCACTAATAGTCGCTTGCGATCCGTACGCGACAAAGTGGTCAGGATCTGAGATCACAATTTCGCGCATTTCCACCAATCACGTCTCTCCTTGTTCGCGATATCCTTGATGTCGTAGACGTCCAGACGGATCAACTGTGATCCGATCTCCCCGGGCGACCTCACGGTAAGCATCCGTCGATCTTTCATCTTCGATATATGCTGCGGAATACGATCGAGATCGCGACCAGACTCCGTCAGGTCGAACAACGCGTCGAGCCCGCCGCCGCCGCTGCATCCTACTTCCTCCTCCTTCTCGTCTCGCTTCTCCACGCTGTACGAATGATCCGTCGAAACCGCGGCGGGGATATCCCCTCCCGCACCGACGGGTAAATTTTTTGACGTATCTGTCGTGATAATTGATTCATTCGTAAAAGGTATCTTGTGTCATCAGATCACTCACTAATAATGAATACAACTTCGACGGAAGTCGATCACGAATGAAATTATATATTTCATTCACGGAACAGGTAGGACTCTTAGGACCTTTCTTCAGCTACAATTTATGGAGCTCTGTCAGCACGCTCTTTATGTTGCTGCCCTCGCGCATACTACGTACGTCGCAATCGGTTCGCTTCTGATTCATAGTCGTCAGGTACTCCGAGACGCTTGCGAGCAACAGTCTCAAATTCTGCGACGCCGAACATTCAGGTTTGCGCAGCAGATCGAGCAAAGCGAAACTGACCAACTCGATATCCGTCGAGGTGCGTTCGACTTCTACGACCTGATCCTCGAACGGCTCGTCCAACAACGACATTAGAGCCTCTTTATCTTTCATTTGACTCTCCATGGCACTATTTCTCTCCATACAGATGTACCGCGCGAACTACGAGCATCAACGTTCTCGCACCTTCACAAACTTCAAACTGACGATTGCGCGAGGATTCGCGTTGTCTCGCCCTTATCGCTCGGCGAATGTCAATAGGTCAGAATTCGCGTTCTTCCCGCGTTTATATAGCGCCCGATAACAATTTGACAGCGGATGTACGGGGTCAATAGGGCAGCAGATAACTCTGGAAATAGCTTTGAGAGATAACCGCGATCACGCAAACGGAGACGATCTCCGACGATGACGACGACGAAAAGTCGCGTACGTTGTTGAAATTGTTTCTGTCCGTACGATTATTGCAATGTAGATTTCAGTAATTATTTTTAAAAATAGAACCTTCGCAAACTTCAAACTGACGATATAATTGCGCGAGAAAATTCGCGTTGCCTCGCGCTTATCGCTCGACGGATGTCAATAGGGCAGCAGATAACTCTGGAAATAGCTTTGAGAGATAACCGCGATCACGCAAACGGAGACGATCTCCGACGACGACGACGAAATGTCGCGTACGTTGAAATTGTTTCTGTCCGTACGATTATTGCAATGTAGATTTCAGTAGTTATTAAAATAGAAATAAACACGATGCGATCTAATATCTTGCATTTATATATGTATCCATGAAATATTATTATTACTTGCGAATATGTACTTCTTAATAATGTTTTGAAGATCTCAAATAACGTTGTCTGACGAAGGGTTAATAAATATTAAAATAGAAATAAACACGATGCGTGCGCGATTGAAAATATCGATGACGCGAAAGCGTCCGCAGTCCGCATTGCGAGTCGAGGCGCGAAAGATCTCCGACGACGACGACGACGATCGATTGCCGTGGACCTTCGATCAATTACCGACGCACCGCCGTCGCGACGGGGGATCCATCCGCGGAGAGGCGCCTCAGTCGCGCGAGGGGAAATTCGGAGTGGCCCGCCCCCCCCCCCGCGCCGCGCGAAAGTTGTGGCGCCCCTCGCTGCCCCCCACTATCCCGGATTAGAAAAGCAGCGGCGGGGCGGCCCCCGTCTGCCGACGCCATCCCCTCGCCCACCGCTTACAGCGGCCCCCACGCGTTCCGCTTTCTGCCCCCGAGCCGCTATCAAGTGCGCCCGGTTTCAAATCCCCTATAGTATGGCTACTAACAAAATTTTAAATTTTTTTTACCTGCACGATTGACGCAAGATTGTATTGAAAACTTTTTTTCTACTGTAAGACGTAAAAATGTTATTCCTAATGCACTTCAGTTTAAAATGAATTTAAAATTAATTACAGTGTCTCAATTTATGAAGAATGTTAGTAATAGCAGTTATGAAGAAGATGACAGAACATTTTTTTCTGATTTCTTTGATGTATTGACTGTAAACCACAATTCAAAAAGTTCCTTAATTGATAACTTTGTTTATAAAAACATTAATAATGATTTAAATACAACAGTAATTTCTTGGACTAAAACAAATTTAAATAAAATATATCAAATTGGTGGATATATACTTAGAAGTAATTTCAAAAATAATAAAATGTGTATTACATGTATTTCAGCTACTGGATCAATGAGAAGCAGTAATGCTTTTTATCATCTACTTACACGGCTTAGAGCTTGGCATAGTAATTCTCTATTTTTCCTTAATTTTGCGACATTGTGTTTCTTTTTACAGATGGAAAAAATATTCCGTGTTTTTCTTAAGTATAGCAAACATCAAAATAGTAGAGTTAAGTTAAAACATTTCTTTATTAAAAAATGTCAAAAAATTAAATATTTATTACCTAAGTTACCTAATTTAAAAGAAAAAATAATATGTAGATTTTATGTTTTGTATGAAAATTTCATCTCATAAATTACGACAAGATAAATCTGTTATTTTTGCAAGTAAAAGCATGGCAATGCATAATTTAATAAAATGAAATTTGTAATTTTAATTCATAATTTTCTTGATAGTATAAGATATCCTAGAGACATCCAGGATGTCTGAAGGATATCTTGAAGCATTTTTCAGGATGTCCAAGGACATATTTAGGATGCTTCTAGGATATTTTGTGCTATCTGGGTTTGTTTCATTATTTTTATGAACACCCCTATTATCAAACTTTCTTCAGTGCTATGGTCATAAACATTTAACATCTTTATAATTATCTAATTAATAAATCTAATATAAATATCCAATTAATTGAAAGTAATTTTAATGATTTTTCTTTTTTAGATGGAGCTGACAAATAAATTCCGTTCAATCTTGCAAGAGTGAAAACATTAATTAATGGAATTTTTCAAATAAATACCTATTAATAACGATAATGTGATTTATTACTCAGACAGCACCATGTCCAAAATCGAGACATAAGACGTCTTTTAGCCATCTTTTCGTAAGACGTTTAAAAGATGTCTAAAAGATGTCTTACACGTCTTATGTCCCGCTTTTGAACATGTGTGCTGTCTGGGTCATTTACTGATTATATATTTCTCTTTCGTGTATCTTTACTATTTTTATAGTTTTTTACTTTTTTACTTTTTTTGTAGTTTACAGTGATTATAAATTGTACTTCAGAATTATAATCTTATTAGATATTGATTTTTACAATAAAATTTACATTATTTTTAATATTATATGAAGCTTTTTGTTAACCAATCTATAACAAGTAAAATTATTTTTAATCTAAAAGTAATATTTTGTTAACAAATACAATAATAGCTCTGAAAATAGGTACATAATTATAGAAAGAATAATAAACATCCCAATAAAAGCTAAGCAAGCACTGTTAAATCATTAATTTAATACCGTTAATAAATGCAAAATACAAGTTATTAATAGAAAAATATTGCTGTTAACAAAATATTAATGCTGGATTTGTTATTTAAATTCTTTTTATGTTTTTATTTTTTATTGAAAAATGTCCAAAGTAGAACCGTGTAGATATTTGTATTTTATTTGAAATATTTTATAACTATACACACGAATAATATTTGCGCTCTTATTTATCTTCTTATAAATCCTTTAGTAATGTTTTATTATTTTTTTATCGCGTTTTGCTATTTTTATATTTAAAATAATATACATTTTTATGATATTTTAAACTGGTACACTTTAAATTTTGCCGCGTACAATCCTATTTTTTCCCAGTAAGCAAGAAACATCAAGAAACATTTTAACTACATTGCAGCAACGTTGTAACGTTAATGCAATATAGTTAAAATGTTTCTTGGCGTTTCTTGCTTGCTGGGCTGTTTTGCATGCAAATGGCGGCGTGTTGGCCAGTCTCTCCCTGGAGGGTGCGTCCTATCTCACT